TTTGGAACGGGGTGAGGATCTGTTCTGCTCCCTTCAAGGATGTTTCAAGACTCTTTGACTTCCTTCCCTTTCTCCAGTCTTCTGCTTATTTGGACTTGGAGGGCGGGGTGAGGAGGAGAATATTGATTACGCTAGGGTCAGTTCTGCTCTGGATGATTGGGGCTTCGTCTGGCCCACAATATTAGGCACTCTCTTACTTAATCCCTGCTGGTTATATCTCTAGGCCTTACTGCCAAAATAAGGGGGATAGGAAAAAATTCAGTATATTAAATAGATAAAAGCTAAACTGTTTTGAGTGATGATATTGTGGATTGTAGAGGAGGAAGCATAGACGTTCCATGGACCTTGGGCTTGCCCTCTCGGAGGACAGGGAGGTCAAAGAAAGAATGCAAGAGGAAGTAGGAGGGCTTTCAGACCCCAGGAGCAAAGGCAAAAGACAGGGATGGGAAAGTGAAGAATACACTCAACTAATCTGTGAGTAGGTACTCAGTGAGTGCCCCAGAAGTGGGCATATAACCCAGAAGCCACCAATTTCTTGCCCGGCAATTGATTGATGAAGTAGGTGGGTACGCAAAGTTCTGTCTTAAAAGGGAATCTGAAGGGTAAAATATGGAGAAAATAATCAAGAATTTGGTATTGGGAGAAAGTCAAGACACAGAGGAAAACCAAGAGAACACCTAATCAATATTAATATCTGCACGGTCTTGATTGGCAACCAATTAACCAGCTCACTAGAACTGTGGATCTTGAATGATATTTCTCCCAGAACGCTCATGAAATTTCTAGTTCCCTTATAGTCATGCATTTTTGCAATAAAGCTCCCTGATTTCAGGTTACTTGAGTCTCTGTTTCTTGCAATCACAGAGTGACAAAAGTAAAACCAATACCACAGTAATGGGAATTGGTGTGGTGAGTTCTCATAGTAGAAAAGGACCAAAGAGAGTTGATCTTAGCCCTCATGTTCATTTCTGGAGTGCTAAAATCCATACATTTTGTCACCATGTGGCAGTCAAGGCTATTTCTGCAATTGTCCTGTTTTTTGGTATGTTATCAGAGACTTGGGACAGAAAAATCATCTCAGAATGATTTGCAGATGTCCCTACTGACATGCTAAAATACTCTCTTTACCCTTTCCTGGGGGGTTAAATGAGTGTTCCAAAGTTTAGTTTAATTTGTAATCTTAGGGCACTTAGACCTATCACTAATTCTTCTCCCCAACACCCACTTTACACCTAACCCACTCCAGGGTAGGAACTCTGTCACAAGTCTAGGTTTCTAACACGCAGACCTAGCAATTCCACTTCCAGGAGCCACTCAAGAAAAAGTCTCACACGTTTGCACATATAAAAATACATTGCTACCACAATAAAAATTGGACATCTTCTTGACCAGCGTTTCTTTAACTTACTTGACCACAGGCTCTTTGTTCACAGAACACCTATTAGCATCTTGAGAGGCCATTTGGCGCTAGTCTTTAGGTGACACTATCTGAGAAATGCAAAGTGCTTTTCACCTTCAGCAACACCTTCCTCCCCCGTCCCAGTTTTTTTTTTCCCCCTCGGACTCTTGGATTCATTGGGTGTTCATCCAAAATTAAATTAAAACTGTTAGCCAATTCCCAAATGTCCTCAGCACCAGGTCTTTCAAAGACAGGCTTCTGGATCTACTTCTGCCCGGGGTGGGGGGAGGAACAAAGTGCAATGTGTTTTGAGGCTACAGCCCCACAACTTCCCAGGAACTTCAAATAAATTATTCAAAGTCTCAGGGGACTGGCAAACAAGTGAGATAAAAGGTCCACATCGGGAGTGTGGGAAAGGGGAGGGAGAAAGCAGAGGCCAAGACTGAAGGTCATGAGTTCCAGAAGAGACTATTTTCACAGGTTTTAGGTGTCGGAGGGGGGAAGTTAGGACAAGCTCTACTAAGAGAGTGGCAATTAACTACACATACAAGGGGGGCTAATTGATCGTTAAACAGGGTTTGGCTGCTGAGCTCTTGTAAAAGCAGTTACATGCACCATCCACTTCAGCCAATCATCAGGCGGCACGCCCGGGCATTCACTACACAACGCGCCTACTGAGGATAATAGACAGTGTTTTCATTTGCCTCCTGCCTTTCAACTGCAGATTGTCAGGAAACAGCACATTCGTTATGTGTTTAAAGACTCGTCCAAAGAATTATGTATTTGGGAAAACATCTTCAGAATCGAGTAGGCTAAATGATGATAAATATGATATGTCATTTGTTTCTTATGTCCTACCCTTAAAAAAAAATCCAAACTCAAATGGAACATCATTTGAATGTCTTATGTGTGATGCAAAGCAGTTTTGTTTACTGGTGCCCAAATTTCAGTTACAATTTTGTCCTTAAAGAAAAAATCTGCAGGGTTAAGGAAGGCCCTCCATGAAGGTGCCTGGCCTGTTTGTCGATACTCCATAAACCAGTTGCCCTGGATGGAAACTGTCAGAAGAAAATAAAATGGGCTAAATTTACTATCACCTGTATCCACTCACATACACACGTGGAGGTGCATTGTTAACTAAGGCACAAACCCAAAGGCAGCAGCCTGGCCAAACAGCCCCCTGGGAAATACCGTTTGGCGATGCGAAGCTTTTTTTTTTCTTCTTCTTTTAACATTGAGAAGGAAAACAACACTTGCAGGAAACCATAAAACCCTTCAAGTTAACTGTAGCCAACGGTCAATCTCATTAGGATATAATGGGTAGGTTGTAGCACTCTCTATAAAGGCTGCATGTGCTGTCTGAATAATTTCCAATTTTCTCACTTGCTAGAATCTCTGCCTTTTAGACAACCAAGCAGATGTTCCACTCACTATATTTATACTGTTTCTATGCTCTCCTGCCTCAGTTACTTTTTCCAAAACTCAGTCCCTGAGTTCATCTTTTATCTGAGCACATTTGTTGAACTGGACTAGATATAAATATTCAACCCAGCTGATCATTTAGACTCTTTCAACCAGGATGGTAGGAAGGCGTCCTTGGGAAATGGATAGGGAGTCGGAGCTTTGGGGAAGTCAGTGCCAATCCTGGTCTACAGGCCTAAGGCCTTGGTTAAGCTTTTTCCGCTATTACTGAAGCAGTTAAGACATCTATTTATGGAAATCAGAAGGAGGGCTCAAGAGATGGGGTTCCAGTGCCTTCTCACTTCTGACCTCGTGACCTCAGTCACTGAACCACTCTCAACTCAATTTCACCATGTAACAAAAGGGAGTGATAACCCCTTGCTGCATATTGACTGGGAGAATATGCTAAAATCCTGTGGGGGCAGCGATCCTCAAACTTTAGTGAGTATGGGAAAGATATGGGGGGCTTATAAGGACCCCACCCCTAGAGTCTGATAATCTTTATAATTTCTGCCCTTAACAAGAATTTTCAGATAATCCTGATGTGGGGGTGGTGGCGGAGGTTCACGTACCAGATGGGGAGACGCTGATTAGAGATTTATTTTTAAGAATTTAATGTCTTCTATGTTGCTGGCACGGGACTAGGCTTGTACATGTTATCTTTTTATAACAGCCCTAAGGTGAGGGACTAGCATTTAATGAGCCCATACAGGAGCCAGGCATTATGCCAGGTGTGCTATGTGTGTGATTTCACTTGATTCTCACAATAGCTTTATGTTACATTGCATTCTTTCTATTTAACGGTTTACAACAGTGACGCTTAAAGAGGCTAAGAAATTTGACCACCAAGGTCCTTCAGCTAGTTGGTCTCAGAGCCAGCATTCCAACGCAGGTTTTCACTAAGTCCAGGGCCCCTGCTACCACAGCTGCTCCAGCAGGCAGCTATCAGATGCAAAAGCATTTTGGAAGCTCTTAAGGCTCCATTGAAACAATGTAAATGTCAAGTCAACAAACAAGAATTAAGCATTTATTACATGCAAGGAACCAGGGAAGGCAAATTTGGGGATACAAGAAATATTTAAAGGCCTAGTTCCTGTCCTCCAAGAATCCCATTCTAATGGGAGAGCCCAGTTTGGCTACTGGAGTTTTGGAGCACTGCAAAGGTGGGTGAAAAGCATTTTGCGCAAGGCCTTGAATGGCAGTATGTGAATTTTGCACTTTTTATCCTGGGCCAAGGGGAATCTGGTAGATTTCAGCCCCGGCTGAAACACCACGCAGACCTTGTAGACGCCCCTCCACTTTAGCTTTCAGATGAGAGCCAGAGCGGAGATCGAGAAACGTGGATGGAGATAATTTCCCAGGATGAACAGAGGCAGGAGTAAACCTTAGGAAAAATGGTTGAGAGGCATTGTATAGGCCTCAAAGGAAGAAAGAAGGGCATAAAATAAAAACCACCAGAAAGAAAAATAAAAGCATACATACTTCCACCTGAGAAATCCAAATGGGGAAAATGGATTTGTATTCCTAGCAGGTGTCAGTTTTTCTGGACATACAGATCTTTCCAAATATCTCCTTGGGATCCTTAAATTGTTTTAAATTTATGAGTAAACATTCTGACCCCTAGCATTCCACAAACCACGTTTTCTAATTCGTGGGTACCCTCTAAACAGGAAATACTTGGTAAAAGGTTGGATGACTACTTCTCAACCCTCTTTCTCACTTTCCTCAGAATCCCTTAATGCCTCCAGCACCCCTGCCCCCCACAGCAGGGTGAGCACAAATCCAGGAAGCCCTTTGAGGCACTCAGCTCACCACATGCTCTTTTATTTTTTCTTGGCACTACAGGTATTCAACTAGCAATTGACAAAACTCGCTTAAGCAAGTAGTACTGATTCATGTTTCTGATGGAGCCCAGGGCCGGAAGCAGTGTGTTTCAAGAAAAATTGCTTGATATTCTTAAAAGAAAATTTGGATCAATAGGAAAAAAATAATTCAGATTATCTGAAAGAAAAAGTCATACTAAATTGTTTGGTTTCTCAGATTTATTATGCCTTGTACCCCCTAACACACAAGTATTCCTTATGAATGAAAACTGATTCAGAGGAAAGCACAAAAATGTTTCTTAATTTACTCTATCACCTATGAGGAAGGACACACATATTAAGCTTTTATTTTTAAAGCAACGTTATCAAAGTTCTTGAAGAAAATATTTAAAGCATCCTTCAAAGGAAAATAACCATAGTTCTAATAGATCCCTACAAAATAAATTTTAAAAAATGCATTACATAGCCTTCATTTATGTCAAAGTTCTGATACTTTGGATCTGAAAAAACTAAACAATATTATCACTACAATGAACAAAAATTAAATTTAAACACTGTATACTTCTTTCTACTGCAAAGGTTTTTGAAGAGACTTAAGACACCATGTTGCTTTAAGATCTTTAAAAAAAGATATTACAATTGTAGAACACAAATGCACCTACAACTAAATATATTAGCAGAACACATGAAAGAAAAATTTGTAAACTACTAGCTCGAATCATCTTTAAAAGACTAAACGATCCTCAAACACCATAGTTATATTATTTTCGAGGGGAGAATTATTGCTTTTCATTGAACAAAAAAATTGCTTGTTTTGGACTATAAGCTCCAAAAATCTCTTCTTCCAGCTGTACATTTCAGGATGAAGGATAACCCCTTACCTACAAGCAATCTCCATGATTAAAGGGTTATTTCCAAACACTTCTGTTTATTAACCCCTCCTCTCCTGTGCTGAAAATGCAGCAGACATATAAAGCACACATTTTTAATTAACAAACATTTGGAAAGCGAAGGCGGGTTTTGTTAGTTAATGGCAATTATTAATCCTCAACATAAACAGGAAATAGTGCTAAGTGGCAGGCTCCAAACCAAATACTAATGGGCCTCAGGAAATCCAAAGTACTTTTTCTCCTTGCATGCAGGTTTCCATAATGCTGTTGTACCTGATGCTTATAAAACGTGTCAGTCTCCACTAGCTGAACATGTGCTCACAGAGCGGGAGGGGGTGGGAGAGCTTTCCTCTTAGCCCTCGCCCAGGCAACTTCTCCAGGCCATTCCTTTTGTCCAATTTTACTTACATGAATAACCATGCTGGGCATGGCACAAAACCAAGATTTTAACATCACGTACACCTTTCTGCTTTTGAGCAAAAAATTTATTCAACTTTTACACTTCCTAATTGGTAATGGCCTTCTCCACTATATACTGACAATTTCACAGGCTCATTTGTTCTTAATCCGGAGAAAACAATTCTAGCCACTGCTAGGTGGTTCACGACGGCCAACTCAAAGAGAAAGCTGCTTCAGGAACATCAAGTTAAAAAACAGATGAGCCAGCCAGTTTCATCTGTAAGGAATTTTGTGCACGTTGCCCCTCCCCCAAAAATTGAAGACAAAGGGCATTTATTTAAATATGGTAAACTCAGAAAATTCCTAGAAAGCGTGTAGAGTTGACACACATTCAGCTGACGCCATCATTTCAGGGTCAGGGCCTGCCAAATCTGGCGGAGAGGAACTTAGCACTCCCCAAGAAGATGGCAAGTAACAGGCTCCTCTAAGAACTGACTCGTTTCAAAGCTAAGGCAGATGGTGTAGTTTCTACTCAGGTAGGGCACTCCCAATGTCAAGCTTCGGGCATAATAATGACAAAAGTCAAGATTTAGGGTTCAGTTCCAGCTGATTTTATTTCCTTCTCAAAAAAAGTTATTTACAGAAGGTATATATCAACAATCTGACAGGCAGTGAACTTGACATGATTAGCTGGCATGATTTTTTCTTTTTTTCCTCCCCCAAACATTGTTTTTGTGGCCTTCAATTTTAAGACAAATATTCTACACGGCATATTGCACAGGATGGATGGCAAAAAAAAGTTTAAAAACAAAAACCCTTAACGGAACTGCCTTAAAAGGCAGACGTCCTAGTGCCTGTCATGTTATATTAAACATACATACACACAATCTTTTTGCTTATTATAATACAGACTTAAATGTACAAAGATGTTTTCCACTTTTTTCAATCTTTAAACACAACAGCTATAAACCTGAACACATATGCTATCGTCATGCCATAAGACTAAAACAATTATATTTAGCGACAAGTAGAAAGGATTAAATAGTCAAATACAAGAATGAAAAACGCAGTACATAGTGTCGCGAACTCAAATCGGCATTTAGATAGATCCAGTGGTTTAAACGGCACGTTTTTGCTTATAAAAAAAGTGCAAAAAAGATGTGGTTTACAAATTAAAGCTACAGGATCCCTTTTTGCTGTAAATGCACCAGTTTTAAAGCCTCTGGACAGGATAGTATTTTGTTTAAAAAATTTGTCTGTCTTAAAAGCATACAGTGTTTGGCTAATTCCCTCCCCTGTTTATAAGACTGGGGTCGAAGGGTGGACACTGGTGGCAGATTAAGGGATACTGTCACTTTAAGAAGCCTGCAGATTGAAGTGTAAACATGGAGAAATTAGGGGCTGATTTTTTAAACTGTGAGATATTAACCAGCCGCCCTATTATAAAAATCAGGAAATCCAAACAGCGATTTACACCGATTAACACCCCCTTTATATATTTTTTACAAAAATACACTGAGAAAATAATCAAACGTTTTCATCTCTCTTGTCTTTTTTTGTTTTTTAAAAGTGTCAAAAGTCTACATTTAAATATAAAAAATTAAAAGTTAAAACTCTAGCCCTTCAGTGAAGGAGACGTAAAATGGCGTGGGTAACAACAACTACCAAAAAAAAAAAAAAAAAGAAAATAAAGATAAAGAAGATAACAGAAGGAAGGAAGAAAGGAAGGAAGCAGAAAAAAAGAAAAAAAAAGCAAAAGAAAGGAAAGAAAAACAGGGACAAAGTAAGAAAAAAAATGTTTGGCCAGTATAAATACGTCCACATATAAAATGGCATCTGATTACATTTACAAGGAAAAAAAATACGAGGATGGAGCATCGGTGAGGGGAAAAAAACACGTCTTCTCATTTACACCTATAAGGAATAAACACATACACACTGAGAAAAAATTTGGTCCTGAATTGTTTTTTAAAGTCCAGCACAGATTTGAGTTGCGTTTGAATCCCTTAAAGAGTTAAGAATGAAAAAAAGCTGGTGATAATTTTGTTTGTAGGAATCAAACATAGCGCCATCTATCTGCTTTTTATATTATCCTACACTATTTTAAAAACTGCTCAACAGTCTTATACAGAAATCTTTAAAAGATAGACAGGATAACATGCTATATTAACCCCACCAGTGAAATAATCCAACACCATCACGATTCCGATTAAGAGAAGAAAAAAATCTTTTTTTTTTTTTCCCCGAAACCACTCGCCCTCCACTGCCCCGGTACCACATCAAAGTCTCCTCTCCTCCACGCCTGCGGGCCTGTGAAGTCGCACCTCACTGATTTCATATCTGCAGGAGGTGGAGGCCCCGGAGTCGCCGCCACCTTCTCCCGAACGTGCAAATCCATTTCAGTTTTATTAGGAGCCCCTTCCAGGCCAGTTCGTGTCCTTCTCTCCCCCGCCCCTCGCCCTCGCTGGTGTGGCTTCCAACTAGGTTCTCAGGTCATTTCCTAGCGCCGGTCACTCAACATCTCCTCCTCCGGCTGCAGGAGCCAGAAAGAAAGAAAAAAAAAAAAAAAAAAAAAAGGGAAGAAAAAGTAAAAGAAAAAAAAAAAACCCCAAATGGGGAATTCACCAGCGTGGAGTCTCTCAGTCCCGGCGCTCGAACCTGCACGACCCCCAAACCTCTGCCGTCGGTCACACTCCACTCCCCGGAGCCTTCAGTCTTCTTCGGGGGAAAAAAAAGCGGGGGAGGACGGGGGTGCTGAGAACAAAATCCCCAGGGGCGCGTTGGATTTTTTTTTTCTTCCTTCCTTCTCTCTTGACCAAGAAAAGAAATAAAATAAAACAAAACAAAAACACCAAGGGGGCGATGAGAGAGGAACGAGATTCCTTCAGTCTCTAGAAAATTACCAGCTCGGCTTCTTGCTGGGGGTGCAGACAAGTCCGGAAGCTCGTTGGAAAACGGGGGTGGGGGGGGCTCTCTTCAAGCAAAGGGGAGGAAACTCGAAGTCGCTTTTTCGCCATCAACACCACCACCAGTAACAACAATGAAAGGTCGCCCCCGTCTACCGCTGCCTCCCCCGCGTCCCCGCGTCCCCGCGGCCGGGGAGGTGGGGGGATGGGAGCGCGGATGCAAACGCGCCACTGCGCTCCTCTCCGACGCCCGGGATGCGGCCCAAGCCGGCTCTGCTCACTTTTTTTTTTCCTTTTCTTTTTTTTTTTTCATTTTCCCTTTTCTCTTTCCACTCTCTCTCTGTCCACTTTTTTGTTTTTCCTCTCTTGCCCCCACCCCCTGGCCCTCTTCTCCCAGCCCGCGCGCCCATCAGTAGGTGAAGACCAGGTTGGAGATGCTGGACTCGAGCCAGTCTCCCGAGATCATCTCGCTCACCTCGGGCGTGCAGTAGTCCGGGAACTCGAAGTGCGAGCCGGAGCCGGGCTCGAAGTTAAAATCCAGGTCCCGGTCCAGCGCCGACGATGAGCTGAAACTGCCCAGGGACATGCTCTCAAAGTTTGAGCTGGGGTTCAGGTCGAGCAGGTCGTCTTCGAACTCATCATCGGAGGACGAGGAGCCCGAGGAGGAGGACGACGACGACGAGTGGGACGAGGCCGAGGAGGACGCGTGTGAGGGCGCGCTGGACGGGGCGGGCGAGGCGGCGCGCAGGCTGGCGTAGCTGCGGTGATCGGCGGGCGAGCGGCCGGCGGCCGGCGACGAGGCGGCGCTGCTGCGGCCACTCAGGCTCGGCCCGTCCGGCGAGCAGCCCGCGCCGCCGTCCTCGTACAAGCCCAGGGGGTCGCTGGGGTCAGCGCTCGCGCCCACACCGCCGACGGGCGACGACGATGCGCCCAGGCCGCCGAACAGGTAGACGCGCTTCACCTTCTTCTCGGCCAGGTGCTTGCCCGGGGCGGCGAGGGCGGCGGAGGCCGCGGCCGCGGTGGAGGCCGAGGCCGAGGCGCCGGGAGTCCGCGCCTTGTACAGCGCGTGGTGGTCGGCGGCGGCGGCGGCGGCGCCCAGGGGCAGCAGGGCGGCGGCCCCCGCCTGCTCGGCCCCGAAGGACGAGGAGGCGGCGCCGGCCGCCGCTTTCCCGCCGCCGCCGCCCGCCAGGATGAGCTTGGCGTGCGGTTTGCTGAGCCCGCCGCCCGCGCCGCCCGCCGCCTTGGAGCCGCAGCTCTTTTTCTGCGCCGGTTTGGAGTTGGCGCCGCCGCCGCTCGCGCCGCCGCCTCCTCCCCCCGCGCTGCTGCTCCCGCCGCCGCCGCCGCCCCCGTGGCCGCCCCCGCCGCTGCCACCGACCTTGTCGCCCTTCTCCCCCGGCTTGGGGGCGGCGGCCGAGGAGCTGGCGTTGGCGTTGCCGGACTTCACCTTCTTCCTGGGCCGGTACTTGTAGTCGGGGTAGTCAGCCATGTGCTTGAGGCGCAGCCGCTCCGCCTCCCGAATGAAAGGGATCTTGTCGCTGTCTTTGAGCAGCTTCCAGCGTTTGCCCAGCCGCTTGGAGATCTCGGCGTTGTGCATGTCGGGCGACTGCTCCATGATCTTGCGCCGCTCGATCTGCGACCACACCATGAAGGCGTTCATGGGCCGCTTGATGTGCCCGCTCGGCGTCTTGCACCAGCTCGGGTCGTCGGCCTTGCCGCCCGTGGAGGCGGTGGAGCCGGGCGTGGGGGAGGAGGCGATGCCCAGCTCGAGGCCGGCGCCCGAGTCCGAGCTCTCGCCGGCCAGCAGCGCTTCCGTGTTCTCGGCGTTGTTGGTTTGCTGCACCATGGCCCCGGCTCGGCGGGCGCCCACGCGCGCTCACACCCTCGCGGCGGCCGCGGCGCGATCGCCGGGCCCTCCGGGTTCCCCGGGCCAAGCACACGCCGGGCGGGAGGACGCGCGCGGCGGCCGAGCGGGCCCCTCCACTCCTCGCCGGGGCGGAGGCGGGCGACGAGAGAAAAGTCTCCAAAAGATGCGGGCAAGGAGTACTCCGCCTCTTGCAGAGGAGTTATAGTTCCCAGGCTGGAGAGTCTCTCCCTCCCTCTCGCTCGCTCTCTTTCTCTCTCTCTCTCTCTCTCACCGTTCCGTAGTTTGCTCTGTCTCTCGGCTGAGTCTGGTCACCGTGTTGAAGTGGAGAGGAGTTTCTTGAATGCTGCTTGCTGAGCTTCCAAAGCAAGTTTCTCGCCGCCTCCCAGGCAAGTCTTTTTTTTTTTTTTTTTCTTCCCCTGAAGCAGTTGATTCCAGTTCACCAGCGCTCTCAGGAGCTCAGGAAAGCGACATAGTCTCTATCACTTAGTCCCTTTGCTACAATGCAAAGCAAAAAAGACTCTGGCTCCAGGACTCTCTGTGGGCGGAATCGGTACTAAGGAGTTTGTGCAATTATTTTGTTGCAAGGTAGGAAGCCAAAAAGCCTTCATGCAACAGACTGGCATGAATAAATGTATGTTTTCCCCTCCCTTCTGCAAGAAGGGAGCTCGTAATGGCAGAGTTCCTCCAATGCAGAGTCTTAAAGAGCGTGCAAGAACTAGCGACCCGGGAGCGAAGCAGGCCGCTTCCCCTCACACACTGTTTCTCTTGCTGCAGCTTAGAGCAGACCCCAATGCCGCCTCGCGCCTCTTTATCCTTCCACAGTCTTGGCCGCGGCCAATCAGCCGCTGTAACCAACGCTTCCTCGTGCCAAGCCCCTCCCCCGGGCTTCCCATTGGCTTGGAACCCGATGCAATAATAATCTCCGCGTGCAATGAGAAGCTCCATGTCTGACCTCATTCCAATTTACAGAGCAAACTTTTTAAAAGGGCTAGGAGTACAGCTGAGATTTCTGCTGCCTCTTTTTTCCTTTTGCTGTGTGTGTGTGTGCGTGCGCGCGCGGGTGTGTGTGTGTGGTGTGAAGAGGATGTTAATGCATGAAATTATTAAGGGGAGAGACGGAAATGTATTCTAACCATTATGTTAGATAACAAGGGGCTTGGAAGGGGGGGGTATGGGTGAAATACTGTAAATGGAAGCTTTCTGCTTAAAAGCCAAGTGATTATTTTTATTAGTTCTTTTCAGTATTGGAATAAAGAATCAGCCTCTGGTGCAAAATCTGTTCCTCGGCTCCTTCATAAAGCCAAGGATGTAAAAGGGGGAGGGAAAGCCACAACAGTAAATCAGTGGATATTGAAAACCATTAAGAAAGTGGTACCTAGACACCTGTCATCACAATTATTTTAACAACTCTAGGTACAGCACAGATGTTGATGTATTGTGCAAATCCCTTCAGAGCAATTTTTGTGCTGTTTGTGGAAGGCAGAGAAGAGGAATTTTTGCAATAATTACTTGCTCTCCTAACCAAACAGGGGTTAACTATGGTTATTTCATGATTTAAACTCCCCTGTAAATCCTGGATAGCCCAAACAGAGGAGCTTTCCACTGGAACACATTAGGCAGTGTGTTCCATAATTAACTCAATGGGAGAATTTCCATAGAGTTTTGTATAGGATGATGTGGGTAAAGAATGGGAATCGATTGGACCCTCTAAATATTTGTTTCCCACGTTTTCAGAATTAAAGATTGCTTCACTCTCCATCCTTCTCCCCTCAAAACCCTCCTCCTCCTTTCCTTTATGTATATTTTCTTCTGTATATTTGTTACTTGAATCAAATGGAACTAAAAGGCTAAGGCAAAAAACACTGTAGAAGGAGGTGGTAATCGGGAGCAGAGGAGAATGGAAGCTCTGGTTTATATTAGCCCTGGCTGCTAGTCCTTCCTGGTTTTGTAACCCTGGGGTTTTCCTCATCTGTGATATGGGAACACCAGGAGCTACTTAAATAGGGTTCCTGTGAGGGTTCAGTGAGTTTAATGTATATTAAGCCCTCAATGAATGCTATTATCTTTCCCTTGATAATTCAAATGCCAGGCACTCCTTCTAGAAGAAGCAGCATGTTGTTCAAGAGACTCAAATTGAGGATGGCCACTGATGTGAAAAAATTATCACAGATCTTGGATGTGAACCATCGTGGGATGGTAGTGCCAGCCCTGTTGTCCCATTGATTTTTAAAGATAGGAATTTTGTGAAGAGCATGATGAAGAATGTGGCAAAGAAAAAGGTGTCTAGGTAGTCAGAATACACGTTAATTTGGCCACAAAAATTACCTTTGTTCCAAGGTGTGAAAATCAGAATTCGAGTAAAAATTGCTCTTCCCTAACACCATAACTAGTAAACTTTCTATAGGCCAATGATAGGTGCTTCGGTAGGGCCAACCCAACATAAAGTCAGCTTTCCATTCATATCAGGCTAGTGCTACGCAGTAGATTTCTATTTATCTTGTCAAACGTTTAAAGTATGTAGGCTGGCGAGAGGCCCAGGTTGTCAGATTTAGAATTTTACTGGAAAGAGCACTCATTGGAGACATCTGACTGGATCTCCAAGGATCAACCACAAGCCAGAAAGTTTTTGTGGGTAAAAGCAAATGTTTTTTGACCATTAGCTACCCAAGTTATATACTTTTTCTTTTAGAAGGGGAAACAAATCTTAAAAACAAACAAACAAAAAACCCACAGACCCCCTTTTTGCCTATAACAGAGTTGGGTGTGTTATCATGCATTTTATTTTCTTGGAACTGAAACAGCAGAACACACCCCTCAGTGTCTCAATCTGACATAAAAATTGCTCTTAAGAGGTCTATTATTTATAAAATCAATATTTTCACTAGAATAAAAAAACATAAATACTATATTTATTTTGGGAGTTATACCAACTAATGATTTGAGGGTGTAGTTTGTGATAATTCAGTCAAGCTGAGTATTAATATAATTGATTATATTTCTAAAAGCCATTTATGCTTCCACCACTGAATATGATAGGGGAAAAGTGGAAGTTAATCAAAGAAGTCATGGTAATTTTGTTTGTGCTTAAAGCACAGATTTTTAAAAGTGTGTACTAAAAAAATAGCCACTGGCCTATTTCTATTGTTAGATGTATTTTCTGTATTTCAACAAATCAAATAGATTTTAAGACACACCATTGTTACATGTCACTCAGGAAGAAAAACTGCCAATGAAACAGTGACATCCCCCTGATTGTAAGACATCTCCCTAGTTCAGAGATGTTGAAAATGACAAGAAAAACTTCTTAGAATTGAAGAAATATGGTATTAGTAATTTCCACTGACTTTATAAGATTATTATAGTCTATATGAATGCTTAGACTTCTGAAGTAGGTTTGTTCTTCTGTGTCAGTAGTGCTCTTAAAATGTAAGAAACCATGTGACAAATGGCCTTTGATTAAAGTCAGCCTCCTCACCAACTAAGTACGTGCAGGCTGGAATGTATTAGGCCTCTGAATACCAAATAACGAGAAAAGATTTCTGTGTTCTCACTACCTAACTTCGTATGCTTCGTAACCACTTCTCCATTACTGACATTTTTTCCCCAAATACCAGATATTTGGTGGCCCCTACTAAATCAGAACTCAGTGTTCCCTCTGCTGGCTTTGCAGTACATGAAGTAATTCTTAATGCTACTCTTTAAGCCATATTAACAGTAAACCAAGATAATTTTGCAAAGAAAAAAAAATCCTGTTTTAGAATAATAGACTAATTGTCTTTAGGAGCAATGATGTTAGACATTTCAAATTGTGAATTAAGGTAAATATTTTATTTATTTCCCACTAAATAATAGAATTCTATTTGAGATGTAATATTTGCTAACTCATTTCTTTTCTCCTGCTCTCACACACCTGCCCAACATAAAACTCACAGCCATGAAATGGTATGGGGTTTAGAGGGAAATAAGATTCTGTCCTATTGCTTAATACATTCCTATGGCAGAGAAGGGAAAAAAGCTGAAGGAAAATTAGTTTAACAAATCTGGATTTGCACTGATTTGCTAGATTTTGCCTTGCCTCGGTTATAGAAAGTATGATTGTAGGAACTGGTCTGACCTGACAAGTGTTCAGTTCAAATAAAATAAAGAGGGAAAAAACCCTGTCTTCGTTGCTTTAGCAGACAGGGAAGAAACCCTGGGAAATCTGTTGTTATTGGCCTTTGTCAGCTGAAAGGCCCCAGGCTTTTCGCTTCCACCCTTTATGGAAAGGAATCCTCCACCCGAGGCTAATTTACTTCTCAATCAAGCAGACAAACTTCACTCGCACTTGATCCTTTTGGGCTGATGAAGTGGTATCGGAACTAACTTCCCTTTTGGGGGTTGTATTGAAAAATAATATATGGAAGGATTTCTTACTTGTAAAATATCAAAGTAGGATTCTGGGGTAAAATGAAATCTAAGATTTATTTTTACTTAACCTAAGAGATAAGCACCCTGCGTTTCTAATAAATATTAACCACTTTCGCTCCCCTTCTAACCAGCGACCAGCACCTTGAGTTAGCACTTCCTACCAATGCCAACTCATTTTTCCTTTCCTCTCAACTTTCTCATGAGAACAAGCAGAAAACGAGTGTTTGCCCGGGCCACGTAGATTTGAAGCATAATACGAGCTTCTGCTCCATTTCTCGAGGCGGAGGCGAGGCACACCCACCCGGAGCCTGGGTTGCCTCTGCCGCCAGCCGGCTCCCAATCTGGGGAGAAGCAGCCGCCAGGTGGCAGCGCTGAGCCTCCCTGCGCCCTCGCGGAGACGTGGGAAAACGTGGGGATGACCAGACGACTTTCTTCTCTCCCTTCCTCCTCTCCCGAGCCCCTATCATCCCTCCACTACCTTTTTTAGGTAGCAGTTTAAACGAGCAGCGGTTAATAGGGTGTGTCAGTGAATTCTGATGATTTTTTTTTCTCATAAATCAAAGTTTAGGACAACCAACCGCCGCCTCCTGTTCACTCATCGGAAGCTCCCAGACACCGGGGAAGCCAAGGCTAGCTCCCGTTTGGATCTAGTAACTGAAGCTGGGAGATGATCCGTTACCATGGCCGTATCTTGCTGAAGCCGGAACGAGTCAGAACGCGGTTTCTCCGCCAGCCACTCTCGATTTCGGAGATCGGCTGCAGAGAGACGGCGCGCGGTCCTTCACGACTAGCAGAGGCCACCCCTTCTCCTAAAAAAATGGTCTCCCTCGGCCAGAATGCCTCGCCGAGCGCCGCGGCTCGGGAGCGCAGGCACGGCGCCCTTTCTGCCCTGAGCCTGCCCAGGATTAAAGGCGCTCAGCCTCGTTCCGCCGCGGCGGCCGAGACTCGCCTTTCGATTACAGTGACAGGGAGGAAATAAATTGGAATCGACTCAGGCTGTGCTTTTTGGAGGAAAGTCTTTCCTACTGTAAACATGTTTCAGGCGATCCTGTCAGCAGCACTTTAACACCCGTCTTCCGTTTAGGTTTTACGATGGGGAAAGGAGCTGAAGACGCGCGCGCACGCGCGCACACGCAGCCCAATGAAGACGCCCCCGTGCCCTCGCGAGCTCCTAGCGCTCTGAAGTGGCAACCGGCCGCCGCTAGCCTGGGGGTCGTTTTACGGCCGCACGCTCCTCAATCCTCCTACCCCCAGAGTCCCCATGGCCTTTGGCGATGGTGCCCGGTTCCATCACTGACCGGAACTGACAGCCACTTGGCCCCCTTCTCCCGCGCGTGCCCACACCCTTCCCTCTGGACGCCTAAATGCCCTCTGCGCGCTGTGGGTCTGGAACCTACGCTCTAGCTGGCACACCACGTTCCTCCAGCGGCCGGGTATCCCCTCCCCTGTCTCTACAGGCTGAGGCCCCTTTAGCTTGCAGCAGCCTGGTCTCTTGCAGGGGGCAGAGGAGGGCGTGTGTGCGCGGCGGGCAGGGGAAGGAAAAAGCCGTGGGGCGAAGGAAGGTTGACAATTGGTTGCACTCGAATCCTCAAGAGTCCCCTCCCCAGGGACTTCGGCGGGGCAATCGTGCCTCAGTGCCCTCACTCAGTGCCCCTCACTCGTGCGGGAAAGGCGGGGCTTGGGGACAGACGCGGAGTCCGGGAGGGCCGCGAGGCGCCCCAGGGTGCCAAGCTCCCTTGCCAAGGGGTGCACCCGATGCCCCTAGTGATTCGGCCCCTGGTTTCAGGTCTGAGGAGAGGGACAGGTAAATAACTGGTAGAGGCTGCGCCCCAGGCGCAGTTACTAGAAGCAAAGCTTCGTGGAGGGGTTCGGCTCGCTTTGTCCCCTTGGATTCGAGTGTCTCTGTCTTTCCGCGGACCACCGCGGCAGCCAGGCCCGGGAACAAGCGTCCAGGTGGGGCTGCCTCCCCCACCCCGGGGCGCCCCGAAACCATCCTAGTGACCCCAGCACACGGCGTGGCTGGGAGCACACCCCACGGGATCCCCACCCCCAACCCAACAGCCAAGTAGAAGCAATTACAGTTGGAGCCCCGCGGGGAAAGCGGCTGTTTTCACTTATGGAAAAACGCTTAAACAAGAGCAAACCGAAGCCGACGCGAGCAAACCAGTTGACCTACAATTGGAGGTTGTGCGAGGGCGGGCTGAGGCGGGCGCGCCTGCCAGGGAGGGAAACCCGCTGGGGAGTGGGCAGAGGGAAGCGAAGCAAAATGTCAGATAAGAGACGAGGGGAAGAGGGGAGGGAGAGGAAGAAAGGCGCTTGGTTGCAGAGGGGAGATGGGAAGGCACGGAGCCCGCTAGGGCGACCAGTGACGCGGGTTAGAGGGGAAGGGCGGCGGGCGCGTGGCGGGCGGCGGGCGCAGGACGCGCGTGCTCGGCCGGGCACCCGATCTCCTCGCTCCCAGCCCTCCCCTTCCGGGATCCCGCCGCAGCCTGACATCACGTGTGGCGCAGACGGCGGCGGGGAAGCTGGAGGGGAGGGGAGGGGAGGGGTGGAGTGGAGCGGGGTGGGGCAGGGACCAAAGAACTCAGTGCCCCACCGCGCCGGGCGTGGCGCACACCTGGCACCCGGGACTCGCCATCTGCTCCAGGCTCACCGCCTCTCGGGCCTGGGATGTGGGCTTGGAGAGAGATAAGGATACTGCCTGGGGAGTGGATGGCTTCGCGTCAACCGCCGCAGTGAACCCAGTCAATCAACGTTTATGGTGCTCCTACTGTGTGCAGAGCGCAGCCTTGGTCCCCTCCAGCTGCTGGGCTCAGGAACTGCGCCATCTGTTCTGTTATACCCGCAAGCTAGAAAAGAATCCTGTATATGTTGCTGTATAATAAATTCGCAATTTGAATAATAATGTATAAGCAAATTCGCCATGCCGAGGAGGGTGGTGGAGGCAGTTTGGGGGTTTGGAGAAGTGTGGGGTCTGGCAGAGTAAGGTTGGAAAGTTCTGTGATTTTTCTGAAGCACCAGTGGCCATTTCCACCCCGTGCTTCCTGTCGCACATTCTCCCAACACAGATCAAAATGAACAATAACAATTTAAAGAAGTAATTTAGTGCCACTTAGTCTGGGCTAGAAAGGTTCACAAATAACTGAAGGCTAGTCCTTAAACACTCCAACTTAACTTATTCATTTCACAGACCTCAGACCCAAAACACTGCCCTGTAACAAGTGTTTTGTAATGTAACTTTACCATCCTGAAAGAAAATTGGTGGATAATATAACCTACTAGCACCTAATTTTTTAAAAAAATCAACGTAATGCTCCAACTACAATATAAAGGAGATCTACAAGATACGTAATTTATAATAAAACAACGTACATTTCACATGTGCATGCTCAGGCTATCTTTCACTAGAACACCCAAAATGTTGTCTAAAATTCTCTCCAGGGAGTACTCCTGCCCAGATGTGAATTATGCACTTATGGGTGCCAGGCAAGTACTAAGTACGGAAATACTATTGATACTCCAAATTCTTAAGTTCACAGTGGATGTGGCAGCTTCTCAGGATAAATCAAGCCGGACTTCTTTCCTGTGGACCCTTCCCCATTGCCTCTGGATTTGGTCACATGACTTGCTTCAGCCAATGGGGCATTAGCAAGGCATGATGCAAGCAGAGGCTTGGTAAGCGCCTGCATGTTGGGTTTTGTGCCCTCGAAACCTTGAGAGCATCGTATTGTGAAGAAGCTAGTCTAACTTACTGGAGGAGGAAAAGCCCTGTGGGGAGAGCTGAGTTGCTCTGCCAACACTAGCGTCTCAGGCATGTGACTGAGGCTATCTTGGACTTCAGTGGGATGGTCAGATGACTGCAGCCACATGAGTGATCCCAGATGAGTCCTGCAGAAGAATCACTCAGATGACAGCCCCCCAGAATTCTGAGAACAATAAATCGTTTCAAATCACTGTGTTGGGGGTGGTTTGTTACTCGGTAATAGGGGACAGAGTAGCATTAATTACAATACCATGTGAGAGATGCCAAAATACAATCCACCCAAGAAGGCTGTCTTTTCTTAATGACTCTGGATCTTCATTAGGAGTTCAATCAATATATTCATCAGTGCCCATGGTAGATATAGGGGTTAGCTGGTCTTGAATAACTCCAGACATCTTATCTACTTTGGTGACAAATTGTGCTCCTTTGCCGTTTCCCACACTTCCCTGAAACTCTTTCTCCCCTCAGGAGGCCTGCTACTCACTAGCAGTGTTGTTGTTATTGCTGTTTTGGTGAGGAAGATTGGCCCTGAGCTAACATCTGTGCCAATCTTCCTCCATTTCATATGTGGGATGCGCCTCAGCATGGCTTGATGAGCAGTGTGTAGGTCCTCACCCGAGATCTGGCTGCAAACCCTGGGCCACTGAATTGAGCGTAGGAACTTAACCACTACACCACCGGCTGGCCCCAGCAGTGCTGTTTTTTTTCATCTCTGCCACCCCTGCTGTTTGTGGTCTCTCCTGGCTAGCTCTTTTCTCTCCACTTTTGTTCCCCCTTTTCCTTCTTCCTGGTCTCATTTCTCTCCCTTTTCTGCTATTGCTTCAATATTTATTTACTGATGGGCAGTAAACAGACCAACCATATTAAGCCTTCAATAATTTGCTTCTTTAGCTTATCTTGTTTTTTTTTGCCATTGCTTTTGCTTATAAATTTCTTTCAGTCAGTTGATGGGGGAGGCATGACTATCAACTCTCTAGACCCTGGAAAAGTGTAGTGTTCACAGGCAGGGTGTATTTCTTTTTTAAAAAATATTATTATCATTATTATTATTATTATTTTGCAGGGAAAGATTCACCCTGAGCTAACATCTGTTGCCAATCTTCCTCCTTTTTTTTTTTCCTCCCCAAAGCCCCAGTACATAGTTGTATATCCTAGTTGTAGGTCATTCTAGTTCTTCTATGTGGGATGCCACCACAGCATGGTAACTGACAGATGGGGGGTGTGTTTCCCCGTGCAGAAGCAAACCTGGGCTGCCCAAGCAGTGGTCAGTGCTGAACTTTTAACCACTAGGCCAGCAGGGCTGTTTCTATATTATTATTTTTGATAAAACCTTATCTGCAAACGCATCTTTGAGAAATAAGTTTCATCATCATCACTTATAAAAAATCTTTCTATTCTTTTTTTTTTTTAGAGATTGGCACCTGAGCTAACATCTGTTGCCAACCTTCTTTCTTCTTCTTCTTCTCCCCAAAGTCTCCCAGTACACAGTTGAATATTATAGTTGCAGGTCCTTCAGGTTGTGCTATGTGGGACGCTCCTCAGCATGGCTTGATGAACAGTGCCATGTCTACACCCAGGATCCAAACTGGTGAATCCCTGGACCACTGAAGCGGAACGTGCAACTTAACCACTCAGCCACGGGGCCAGCCCCATATTCTTTTTTTTTTGTGCTCACCAATAGTCTAATTTTTATCCATCACCATACATATATGCCCCTTTACCCCTTTCACCCACCCCTCCACCCCCTTCCTCTCTGGTAACCGCTAAT